TGTATATTAAAAAAGAACGCCAAAATCTCCAATTACTCTTTTTTACAACACCGAACTCGGTATTTGTTCTAAATTAAAATCAGTTTAGGTTGTAGCGATAAAGAACATTTTTTCGCGAAGCAACAGGTTTCAAACGTAAAATCGATGAATCAAGCAAGTGTGGAAAATTTTGCCGGTGCTAGCGCCACCTTTTAGTCTTTTTGCGCACATAATTTTATTGCACGCACCGCTTTTTTTGACAATTATGCCGTCAGATAAAACACATTCACACGCAAATTATTTTCTTTATTTATCTTAGGAAACATTCATTTTGAATCTATCAATTGTGATAATTAACAACAAGTATAACGGTTTAAATACAAGACTAATACTTTGGCGAGATTATGCATTGCGCTACCGTTACGTATGCTCGAAGTTTTTCACCGCGATTAATTTATTATGAGAAATGGATCACACACAACGACCCAACATAATTCTAATTTTTTAGGTGGACTTCCTAGTCGTTTTTTAATGTAGAATTCTGCGTTGAATAAATATGACAGCGTGTAGTCGAACATGAAACCCTGTGGCATCCGACGCAGATTTCTTAGCGCAATAATATTCAGCAACAGACGGCTTTCCCGGATACCGCACGACTGACTAATACAGGTGTTTACATCGTCTGATTAAATTTTCATGGATTTTTTTTAGTTTTGTAGAACAATGTAGAGACTAGGGAGAGGGTTGTTTTTGCTAGCTATCTTCGCTCCTGTGAATGAAATCTTAAATAAATTAACAAAGTCAGTAAGATTACAACGGGATTTCCTTTAAAGTAGGTGAAGCGAATTTTCAAAAGTGACGAGAATCCCCATGTCATTCTGTGGGATTTTAGCCGGTGAATAATCGATTGAATCGAATTGACTATTGACCGACAGATTTGTGTCCTCACCTCAAAGCATTTTTTAACCGCGAAACTGTTACCTCGCCTAGTAAATTTTTTTAACCGTATTGTCATCTAAGTCCTCAATTATTATTATTATGTATGTACGTTTTTATTTAAGTGTGCACTCGTACAAGCTAATTAAGAAAATCATCTCTTATGTTTTATTTCTTGAAAAATAACTTCAAACAAATATATACAAGATTGAAGTTTTATTTTGAGGTTATGCTAGACCAAAATTTTATAAAAAAAAATACTTTCAGAAAACGGCCGCCGTTGAGGAGAGAGCTATGTAGTGAGTTCTTAACATTTTTAGCCTCTTACACATTCGGGCAAGCACAGGTAGGCTCAAATTCTGAAAAGGGTGCGATTTTTAACTTTGGAGCGTTCTCGGTCTATGCATACCTAAACTTCACTACGTTTTCTACAGTTTTGGTATCTTATAGAAACGGGACATACTAAGAAGAAGCCCAAACTGCAGATAGAAAGCAAATTTCTTGTTAAATGTGAGAGTGAGTGAGGTTTCGACGTGTTCTGAACATTTTGGGCGTCACGGATACTCTAGTGTGCCTAAATCATCTCAGATTCTGCATCCTTAGCGTAAGTAGTTAAAATCCTAGAAAAGGTGACACGTTCATAAAATGTTTCACGTTAGAAATCAGTTGTTCGTGAAATTTTTAAGGTTGCACTATGTGGCAGCCAGCCGTGAGCTTTCCTAGACACAATCCGTTACGTCTGAATCGTCTCGGATTCCGAAAAGGAGACGATTTAGGTCAGATTTCAGTCCAGTTAAGTCTACGATCTCGTTCTTTACCAGTTTCGTAGAACACATTGAATCTAACACGTTAACATTGGCACCTCGGACAAGTAGGTGCCGGTAAACCAGGCGGATTTGCGGTGAACCTACTATATAAAGTTGAACCCTAAAGAATTGGACCCAGTAAGTGCACTTCAGAGAACCCAAGTTGAGGTACTGGTACTGATACATATGTCCTCCCGCCCGCGCAACCGCCTGGCTTTCTCGTACCCTTGCCGCCTCAGGGTTTCCTGCCGAGTACTAACGCAGTAGAAGTATTTGGTTCCAAATTTTGCAGCCCTCTTACAAGGAACTGAAGACTTTGGTCGGCATGGACCTGAGCTTCCGTTTGTGAAAACAGCCTCTACCACGTAAAGATGGGAGTTGATTTAGAGCAAAAGAGGCTATATTTTTGGTTCCCTGTTCCATAAAGTTATGCATAAAGGATCATACTGCTCCTCACAGGTCAAAGGAGCTAGGCTGACCTTCAATGGCAGAGGGTAGTTCATAAATTTGGATGCTTGTGTTCAAAATGGAAGCTCTTTGGAAGATAGTGATAAAAAATGCCACACTTGTCACTGTTAGAATTTTACTAAAAGCAATATAGCATACGACGGTCATTGTAATAGAAATATGTTAACGAAGTTGTTGACTGGTTTGCACGAATTTTAACAATGAAATGACAGTTTAAAATGGCCGTCAATGGCCGGTAACCTTTTTACAGATTTCAAGCGTGTTTTAGTGAGCTTATTTAGTACGTTTTTAATGTGCGGTAATTTCTAATCAACTCTGTTGGTTTAAATTTGTACGGTTGATCAGCATTTTAAAGTCATAAGAACAGTAACGACTTTGATTTAGTTCTGCACTTTTTGTCCGAGTGCTGGCCACCCAAAAGTGACCATTTCTCGTCGGTCTTACACCCACATAGTTTGCGTTTAATTGTATGGGGTCCCCCCTGGGAAGTCGGTATCCTATTTACCCCCCGCAGGTCAATCCCGTAGCGCCTTGACGTAATCATACAATTGTACATCTGCTCAAATGTCTCTTATGTGGTATAAATACGTTTCGAATATGGAAAAGTTAACGATGCATTTGTTTATTCGACCCGAGCTATCATTGCTTGCAGGCACGTGACTATAAATTTCTGACAAAGGGAGGCGTGTGGGGAGTTGACATCTTAATACGCACCCTTCGAAGCCCAGTTAACTCATTGGGGGAACATAAAATTTTCCTGCTCGGGTAACCACCTAACCGAAAAGGTGTATTCGTGAAAACCATTTTTCATCAATTAGTGGCACGTCATAGAGATGAGTCGTGACGTCATTCGCTCAATATCAGGAAGAGTTCTTTAGTAAAGTTTAACAAGTAGTTTTAACTTGAAACAAAGTACTATATCGTAAGTAACTGTGGGTAGCTGCTCTGTCTCTGGTGACGAAAGCGTCGCGAGCTTCAGTCGCTCTGAACAGGTGAAAGACTTCAACCGAGGTATTTTTTATGGTGTTATAGGCGTTTATTTGGTTTGAAATCACATCACAAAATCACCCATTTATAAATTTCTCCATGCAGAACGCCCACCTGCCGAGACAGCTGATATCTATCCATCCGTCAAAATTATTAGTCTCGTGCCCACAACAACAAATTGTGAAGTGATTTTCCGCGTCACTAAATCGGGCGACATTTAAGACGTATAAGTTAGTACCGAGACGTTTTATCGTAACCTCAAGCCGTTCTCTTGACTGATTTATGTAGATTTTAACAGTTTTAGTAGGTACGTCAAACGCTGCAAATTGACCACGAACAAAAACGCTGCGGTTTAATTCTTAACAGTAACAAAAGTATGTACCTTTTCAAAGACGCTGTATTATTTATCTATTGACAAAAAAACTATTATTTATGGTTCTATGGGAACGTTTTCTTTGGTCCTCCTCAATTAAAAAAAAATCAAATAAGTTATGTGGAACACACTAACAAGGAATAAGATTCTTTTCGTAACAAAATAGGCTCTTTTACGTAAGTAAAGCACGTTTAATTTTGCAGTGCACGTTTTCCAACACTAATCCTGCATTAGGTGGCGGATTCCTTCCACTAGTTTTTCCCGAGATGTGATCATGGAATCTTGTTTCTTCCCACGCTCTATATACGGATAGTCCGAGAACTTACCGATAACAATGCTGTCTTAATACCCGTTTCTATGATCTGCGCCGATACGATCCGCTATTCTTGGGTGCCCCGTAATTAATTTAACATAAAACGGCAATTTAGCAAAAGTAGAGTGACATTCATTTTCAAGAACATCGACATATTATTTTTCTAATTTGCATAAATGTCAAGTTGACAGCTGAAAATTTGACACAAGCAAGAGAGCTTTTCGAACACACGAGTTACAGCAAAAGGGGTAAAACCATTGGCGTATCACTTAACACATTATAGTCAACGGAATATAGCTTGCAATTGAAGCGGCAGCAGTGAAAGTACAATAAAAGTAGTGAAAACCAAGTGTCTGTACAATTTAATGCCATTTCTTGTAATAAAACGAACGGTTCTGTACCTTAGAGCTCGCTTTATCTCTGTTTATAGTACTTTTAAGAATTGAAGAGATTCAAGTTTCTCAAAAAATTGCCGGTGTATTTAACACAAAAACGTAACTTTTTCAATTTTTGAAAAAAGTAATCAAAACAAGTTTTACCATTTAATTAAATTAATTAATTAAGTTAATTTTAATAAAATATGACTGTAATTATATAACTTTGGCTTACCGAAAAAATAATTCCATTTAATTGTTTCACCATGTATATAGTCATGTTAACTTTAAAATTAAGTGCAGTGTTCCGGTGCGTTTTTTTTTATTAAAGTTGCTGCTAGTTGCGTGTAGCTTAAGCATTCCTTTTTAGTGAATGAAAGCAAAAGTCTTAGGCATCAAGAACACTCCTCCCACATCTGTAATCAACCAATAAATGTAAAGAACCGAACAGGAATGAATGAAATTATCCGTAACTAATATAAATGAACTACCTTTAAGAAAACTATCACTAATTAAGATTTCTAATTCGCGAATTGCTCCCTACACGCTGAATAAATCGGATTGATTGGCCGATAAGATAGTCAACCTGCTATTATCCTGCGTTTAATGACAATATTAACGAAAGCCCGCCTTTCGCTGGTAGTGTCTTAATCCTTAAGCCCATCCTTTCCCCCAACAAACTATAAAGGATATTTGGTAGAACAAACCAAAGTTTGGCTGTCAAAGTGGAAGGGAGATCAGAAACAGAGCAGTAGGCACGGGACTATACACGTGTAAACATTATTCAGATAACACCTGTAGTGGACGTTTTCAGGACGAATTCGGGTATCGTAAAAGTGAAGTGTAGTGATTTGAATGATACGTGATTACAGGGATTTAGTATGATGAAAATGCTATTCAAAGGAAACAGTAGTCGACTGGAATTGTTGATAGAAAAAATTCAGTCGACGAAGGAAAACGGAGAATTCAAAGTCCCAGGTATTTTTTAAATAAATCACAAAAAAAACAGTTCAGTACAACGAATTTTGGCACTGAATTTTAACTATTCCATCCATAAATTTAAATGATTACGACAAACAAATTGATAAAAAGACGCACAAAATATACCTGGATAATCCCGTAGACCTGGTCATTATATAACGTTTAAGGAGTTTAATTTATTTTTTTTTACTAAACTACCCGTCATTAGGTTTTCAAGTTGCGAGACAACACTTAAGTCCGTATTACATAATTGTAGGGGAGACTAGAGCAAACTGGATAACTATGCGGCTATCGCGTTTTCATATAGCATAGACATTCGTAAACAACATATGCATAATTATAATTACAATTAATTAAGTATTCATAATTGTGATAGTATTAATCTCTATTTTTTTATAATATTTATTCGGTATTCTTTATAGTAATGGGACATTTTTTTTACTATATCGCTATAAAGCCTATAAATTCTTATATAGAGAATATATTTTTCTGGTTTAGATATACTTCCAAAGTAGTAATACATAATAAATTACATATTTTGTTGTACACAAGTTACTTCTATGTCAGATTTAGTTCTTTGCTAATATATGAGATCTGTCGTAAAAGCTTTCTACAGCTTTAATAAAATAAGAATGGAAATTCTGTTGTAGTAAGCAGCTCTTTTATTTTGTTACATATAACCTTCATAGCTCTAGTAATGTGTTAGTGATAAATTATTAACTCGAAAAAGTCTGCAAAACTTATCAAGACAAGACTCAGATCCTTGAATATAACATCTAAATTTAACATTTGCGTACTTGCTCTGTCACACAGGCACAAATATCAATCCATCTCAATTTAAGAACGTATTATCAAGTGATATTTTACTCTATTATCCACATGGAAATGGAGAGATTCAAGCTGCCCTTTCAGAAATAACAACCTTAAGGAAATGTGGAGTCATTTATCTACATTACTTATATGTGGCGCCATCCTAATAGGAAATATCAGTTATTTGTCAAACGGGGTTTCCCCTTGTTTTATGTATGCAGCCATTAAATTACTATTTATATTATCCTACAACACGGAGCAAATATCGAAATTAAAACAAATTGTCATTATTCCCACTTGAAAAGAAAATTGTATATCTCGCAGACACTCTAATTGAGAGATTTCCCACGGTTCGTGAGTTGTAGGTGTCGGAATCTCCCATTTTTTGAACGTTTCCTCAATTTAATAATTTCCTAATTCTGTGACACGGACTCCTACACCTTCTGCAGCTTTTTGATTCGACGTGATTTTGTACTTCCCGAGCAGTATCACAAACATTATAAAAAAATAATTGTGACGAAGATTTATTTGGATTTTGTAGTTAGTAGAATCCGAAAATACAGGTTTTCCATTTCCGTGCTCCTTATAAACAATAATACCAAACCGATTATTTTCAAAATCATAGTCACATTATATGTCGCCCGAGAAAGATGACCTTGGCCACAAAAAGACACTATAGTTTAAAAAGTTTGTTGCCTTTAATGGACGTTCTTAATATATATTATTATTCTTATGCTTGTGTGCCAAGGGAGTTGCGTGTAAATAACTTACGATTTTTTTGCAGTAGCTGAAGATGAAACTGCCGCCAGTTCTGCATCCGGTGATGGTTCTGGATGTGGCGAAACCGTACAGGGTTTTGATGATCTTGTCCAAGGGTCGGAAGAACGAGTGCATCAGGGAGATCAAGATAAAGACACTAAACCGGGCCCATACAAATGCACGGTATGTGGAGAAAATTATTTGAAGGAAAAACAGCTCAGGGAGCACGAGCAGGTACGTTGTTCGTGCGCAATTTATTTTCCAGCGAATAACGTGTCCACATTTATAACAATTATTAATATTTGGCATATTTTATTCGCATGAGTGTATGTTACATAAACAGCGCCATAAGAAGTCAGCATCTGGTTTTGCTTTGATCTCGCCGACAAAGTTTTAAGGCGACAAAGCGCTGTAACGTATTTTATTAGAGTTAAATTTTTGATATGATCTACGTTCCTGAAGATAACAATGTCAGAAGGCGGCATATATTAAGCCTTTACCTCGTATCTATATAGGCGACGGTTACCGGAAAATTTCAGGCTAACCCGGTATGCAGTAGCACTAAAATACACAAAACTGTCAGATAAATATTAATTAAGTCGGTCAAACCTTTTGGCATACGCGCATACTAATGTACACTACTTGTACAAAGTGTGGAACCAATTAATATAAAAGATACACAAATGACAACCACAAAATTTTCTTTGTGATTTAATCAAATTTTCCAAAATTTTATTATCGCGTCACTTTTCGAGATTCAGTTACCATGGACAAATCGAATGTACTTCTTGCGGATGCTTTTCTAAGTGTGTTTAAATACAAATTGCTTAAAACTACGAGATACATGCGCTACGCGCACAACAGGTTGTCAATAATTTTTTAAACATGTGTATTTCTTTTTATGTGTGGTATAATTGAGTCTTGATTTCGAAAAAGATGAACAGAATTTTTACTGAAATTGACAGCGCTTGATAAATGTGTATAATTAACCAAATTAGCTTATTTACGGTAACACAGACATGTTTCTAGTGGTTTTTTATATAATTTTACTTGTTTATTGTTTTTTAACCTTATAATTTTTGTGCTCCCAACGTTACCAATTTTTTTACAGTTCCTGAATATATATTTTTTATGGTCTACTCTTTTTTCTTTAGCTTTTGAAGAGTTCTTGATTATCCTTTAACAAAATTGCTCGAAGGTTATTTCGACAGAATTTCCTTTAAATCCACTTTAAAAACGAAACAAAAGAGGTACCCGAGATTTTTTCAAAATGCTTCAAAAACCAGACACAAGATGTCCCTGGAGTTTTTTCAAACGAGTTCAAAAATAAAACCCAAACTCTTCAGGAAATTTCTTCAGATTACTTCAAAACCAAAACCGACAGGGGGTCCCCAAGATTCTTTCAAACTACTTCAAAAACCAGACATGAGTGGTCCCCAAGATTCTCTCAAATAAATTCTAAAAAACTCGCAGGGGGGATCACCAATATTTTTTTCAAACTACTTCAAAAACAAAACAAAAAGAGTCCCCGAGATGCTTTACTACTTCAAAAATAAAACCCAAATGGTCCCCGAGTTCTTCCAAATTACTTCAAAAACAGAAAAAAAGACGTCCCCGAGATTTTTTCAAACTACTTCAAAAAGGAGACACAAAAGATTCCCGAGACTCTTTCAAACTGCTTCAAAAGAACAAAAGGGGTCCTCGAGATCCTTTCAAACTACATACTTCAAAAACGAAAAAAAGGTGTCCCCGAGATTCTTTCAAATTGCTACAAAAACCAGGCACAAGGAGTCCTCTAGATTCTCTCTACTTCAAAATCAAACCAAAAGTGGTCCCTGAGCTTCTTTCAAACTACTTCAAAAACAAAACACAAGGGCATTCTTTCAAATTTCTTCAAAAACAAGACACACATGGTCCTCGAGTTTCTTTAGATTTGCTTCAAAACCAATACACAAATTTTCAACAAAGAAGAATAATCTAGTGCACCTTGTATGTGGGAATTTATGACCGATCGCCAGCGGTATTGCAGTCGTGGCTTACAACTTCGGGAATTTCCAATAAGAATGACTACTTTTTCTAGGTTTTCCTCAGTTATACGAGTTCTCCGAGAAGTTAAAATTGCTTTAAAAATTAAAAATGACTGTTCAACAATTCACAATTTTCGTGAACTGCCAGTGAGAATGAGAGTACACAGTCGGCCAGCCAAATTTATCGCCTGACGTCGCGTCGTCCTATTTAATATTTGTCTGATTGATTCCCCATTACTTCGGCTATGCCTAACTCTGTTTATGACACATAAACACAACTCGCTGCGCGCCCTGTGTACTTACAGTCCGGAGTCCATTTTATGCTATATTTACATTAATATATTTAAGGATAAAATTCAGCGTAATCATTGTATTAAGGCGTGGTGTTTGTTTTAGGTTTCTAATATTACAACAGTAAGTTGTTTGTGTGTATGTTTAAAGAATATGCGACACCGCCGTATCTGTCTTAGTCATAGTGGTGTGACGCATCTCGTATCTCTTGCATGATCCTTCATTTAATTTTTTATCTTCGTAGACTAGTTTTCCTGTTTTGATTGCAGTAGTATAATATTTTTGCAAAAATTGCAACAATGTGTTTGTAAGTGTCCATGAAAATGTACAAAACAAATCGCTACAGTACTGCGTTAATAAAAATTTTAATGCATAACAAAGTATATGCGCATTTACATATACTGAAAGAAGATAATTTCGTCTCTCTCAATGCAATGAAATTTTTGTTCAACCCCCAAATTCTATTACGCTAGACAATAAATATGATTATGAAGAGTACTAAAGACAAACGGCAATAACACTTCGCCACTAAACGTTACGGCACCGTAACACAATATGTAATTATTTTCTTGGCGTTAGTTTTTTTATGCAAATTATAAGACCAACCACATTCGTAATAATATGACCAGTACATTACGATTTCTTATTCCGGTTTTGACTTAGTTTTATTACAGTGAAAAACTTAGGTGACAAAATAATTGCGTCCCATAAAACCAAACAACATTTGTAAATCACCAAACAACGTGTGAAACGATGTTGATTAAAGGTATCAGACCCGGTTAGTTGAGTTCTGTTACGATATTATGGCCACGCGACAGACGCCATAACCGTTTGTAATGTCAGAGGTTGCACCGTAACCCATCATGTGACATGTCACATTGAAAATGTTTCTACTGGTTGTGGCATACGGCAAATACACCATGGTGAAGTAATTTATTCAATTGGACAAGTTTTGCACATTTCACGACTACCTGTCCTAAATAACACCTTTTCTTTTTTTGGTCTCGTGTAAATGGCGCCGTCGCGTTAAGGCGCGCTCACAAATTGCGTGTGAATGTGCCCTAACGCCCTGAACATTGTTTTTTGTTATAGAGTCACACAGATCACCTGCAATTCACGTGTGCTTATTGCCCTCGACTTTTCAAGCATAAGCGTTCAAGAGATCGACATACAAAACTCCACACTGGAGATAAAAAGTACAAGTGTCAGCAGTGCGATTCTGCTTTTTCACGAAGGTATGGCAATTTATAATACTCCTATTAGAATAGCGCAAAGGGTGAGTTAATGAAAGAAAAATGTTTTGCTGAATACGGAAGCTATAGAACGAGTTGACATTTTGTCAGTGGTACTATTAAGGAAAACATTCATCTCGTAAAGAACACATTCTTGTAGCGTGTAATAAACTCGATGTTACCGTGTGAAACAAAATTTACTACATACGAAGGCAGGTATTTAACTGTGCAGTATGTTAATTTGGATCAATTATTCCAACAAAAACATAATTTGTGCAATAAGTAGTAATGTATGCGATATGTGAATTATCAATTATATGTGATTAATGCACGATTTATTGAAAGAGGAATTTAACCAGCACTATTAATGGTTTACCATTATCCAGTTTTCTTTTCTTAAAACTTTTATTCATTTTTCAGTGATCATCTTAAAATTCATATGAAAACACACGATAGTCGTAAACCATACAAATGTGGTACATGCAATAGGGGTTATAACACCGCTGCAGCTCTGTCATCCCACCAACAAAGTCATTTGAAGCAAGAATCTAGATCCGGAAGCCGCACAAGTGGAGGAAGCACCCCTAGTCCGGGACTTTTCCGGTGTACTCATTGCACTGAAACTTTCGGAAAAGCGGATCTGTTGCAGGTAGGGTTTTTTAAACCACTTAGCTGAATCTTGGGAAAGAAACAAATACACACCAGACGTATACATTATTACTAAACCACAGTCACACTATCCTATTTTCTACGCAAACCCGTTTTACGTGACGTCAATACGCCGGGCCACCAAATATCACTAACTTTATATTACCCAAAATTAATTTCACTGCAAGTTTGATCGTTTGACTAATACTCGTAAACTTAGAGTGTTAAGTCCGTTTTATAGAGTTCGAAAATATATACTTAAACGTCAAGTCGAAATAATTTATCGTTCGCGTATAGTTAACGATAAAGGATACCGCTTCAAGTGCGTTATGCGCAAGTATAAAAACAAACAAATTTTACGATAAAATATGTATAATGAGTATAAGAGTCAATAATAGAACGTCTTCCGGATTCGAATCTTGTCAAATTTGAAAGGGGTTTCTTCGCCCTTTTCTTTCCAGAACTTCCCGTCCTGAAGATACCCCTCACGAAAGTAGGTGAAATGTCGAAAACCTTTTCAAATTTGATGAGGCCCAAACGCGGAGAACGACTTTCTAACTTGGGTATTGACATCCGCTCACTTTAGTTAGGGTGTTGCGAACTCTAGAATTGTGTTAATTTCATAACGAGTTGTACATTGTTGTTACGTTGTTACAAAGACGACAAGGTTGTGCAGCTTTCCCTACTCCAGACTGGAATTACAGTCTTCGGACAAAATTAATAAAAAATGTCTATATTTTTACATTGTAATTCAAGTCAGTCGGGTTCCCACTTTACATGTGAACGCATTCCGCCATTTCAAAACACAACGTAGGTCTCCATTTTGTTAACGATTGTTAGTGTGATGTAGCTCCGTTGTGTTGTCAGATTTCTTTATTTTCTAAATTTGTTTCTAGAATCACATGGCGATGGTCCACAGCGACACCGATTCTTCGTTGAGTCAAACTCCGGAACCGCTGTCCGAGTATCAAAACCAAATAGACGACTTGAAAATAGTTTGTATGTACTGTTCTAAAGAGTTTCCAAGTCTGGATTTAATGTACCAACACACGAACATTGCTCACCGCGATGTCCCCAATGGTGTTTCCACTTCAGTTTCTGCCTCCTCTCCCGTAGTCGTTCAGAGCTCACCAAAACACGAGATTTGTCAAAATGGAACACCAACTTACGCCTGTGATAAATGCACAATGCAGTTAGACTCTTTACAAAACTTGAAAAACCATATAAATAACGTTCATTGGCGTCCCACGTTATCACCAAACCCTATCAAAGACTACGGAAACTTCATGGCGGTGGAAAAAAGCTATTCGCCGTTTCAAACCCAGCCGACGGATTTGAGTCGGAAGAAGAAGAACGAAGACAGTATCGATAAGATGATCAAAAAGAAGAAGCAAGACCATCAGCATTCACCGACGACTATAAGTCCGTATGATTCCAACGACAAGCCATGTATTTGTTCGTGTTGCTACGCGCAGTTGCCAAATTTCAAGAGTTTTCTTCACCATATGGAATCTCACGTGATCTCGTCAAACAATTCTTTACTAGGATTTTGCCCGGTTTGTGGCGAACCTGGACGTGACCCAGTTTCTTTTACTAACCACATCTTCAGCCACGCTATTGCTCAAGTACCTGGTCGTTGTTGTTACACTTGTAAAAAGTCGTTCGAACGGTTAGAAGAACTACAAAAACATCTGCTGGATGTACACGTAGTTTCAGTTTTCAAGTGCTCGATATGTAACGACATATTTGATACCAAAATTTCGATGCAGTTGCATCTGTCAAATAAGCATAGTGACGAATGTAAACATTTTAAATGTTATTTGTGCACTAATCAGGTGTTCCATGATAGACTGTCTGCGGAACTGCATATATCGATGAAACATTATCAACAGTTCACACCGTGTGTTGGCACAAATCAGTCGCTTCTACGGTCGCAGTACCAAACAGAACTGGATGCGAGGTTCAGAGAATATAACTTGATTTTCCAGTGCACTTTCTGCCATAAGACTTTCAAAGACCAGTACTCACAGTACGTTCATATTTTAAAGGAGCACAATGAAGCTAAAGAGGTAATTTTTTTGATAAGTTTGAATTTGGCGCCTTTGAAAAGCCGGGCGCTAAAATCAAATTTACAACTTGCGTTTGCGCACTAGTAAACCGCGCAGTGCTTGCGCGTGAATAATTACTGATCGTGTTCATTTTTCATTTGTTACAGAGTGAAAAATTTATTTTGGATTCGACATTGAATCAAAATCCGTCCAGATCTCCCAATTTCATGTTTCCAAAGATCGTAACTCCGGATCATGTGGGTATGGACACGACCAGCATGGAGACGATGTACACTTGTGATATATGTAACCGTAATGACTTGACGTCAGAGGCAGATTTGATAAGTCACAAGAAGGTCCACCACAGCAAGAACAAAATCGGTCCTGTTAGCCTACAATGCGCGTATTGTAATGAGTATTGTAAATCAAGGAGCGACTTGGAAAACCACATGAAAACTCATCAAGTGAGTTGCGGGAAAGGAAAGCACAAGTGTAACATCTGCGACGAGATTTATTCATCGACTTTGACGTTGGCAGACCACAAACTCACACACTGTAAAATAGTTGAAGGGAATAGTTGTGTTCAATGTAAATCCGTTTTGAGTGACGAACAATCATTTTACAATCATCAGCTGCAACACAGTAATAGTCCAGCAAAACCAAATTCGCAAATATCTTTGCCAGCGAATTGCATTATCTGTTGCCAAACTTTACAGACTGATGTGGAAATAAAGTTACACGCGAAATTTCATTTGAAACATTTAACACAAAAAGAATGTTTGTGTGGAGTGTGCAACAAAGTTTTCGATAGTCAAAGCGGTCAGGTCGTGAATAATTTCGAAAAGACGCCCGACAACATCAGCATTTTTTTGTGTAAAGACTGTAATACGAAAAATAATGGAAGCATTTCGGATTGCGATGTTAAAAAAGTGTCGACCCCGGGAAAACAGTTCGCTTGTATCCAGTGTCCACAAACATTTGACAGTGAAAGTGAGGTTCAAAGTCATGCAGCGATGCACATGTTAAACGAAGGAACTAACTTAGAGTGTAAACTGTGCAAGCAAGTTTTCTCATCTCCACTCAAACTTCAGACGCATTTAATCGAGCACAATTTTTATGGAATGAATCAATATAGTTGTTACGTGTGTTCTTCGGTTTTTACTGCCGCAAGCGGACTGCAGAACCATATTATAGGCCATGGCTTGGACAGCAGACCTTATGAATGTTCGCAATGCCAAATGAAATTTTTCTTTAGAGCTGAGTTAGATAATCACCGATTTGTTCATTTACTCCAGACACCGACGAGTCAAAAATCCTATTCAACCCCCAACGGTGTCGAAATCTTGTACGATAGTAAATCCAGTCCGCACTACAAAATTTGCAAATATTGTTCAAATTCGTACTTGGATAACTCATTTTTCTTAGAACATTTAAATCAGTGTCCCTTCAAGATAAGTCCAAAGCGAGAAAATTTTGATACAACTACAAATGATGTAGACAATAATATAAAGCAAGAGGTTACAGAAATCACGTCGGATGGCGTTATTGAAAAAGATGAGCAATAATATGTCATGGTAGATTGAGTACATATTGTTAGAGCAATGATAATAAGACTTTTATACGTATTTTAATTTATTATATGGGTTTAGAGAGTAGGATGGAATTGTGATAATTTTTTAGTTGTAGTAAGGTGAATGGTATTTATATCCAGTTTGCACGCAGTTATATATTTACAAAAATACACATTAAAATGGGTCCACAGACTAGATATAGCATTTATTTCAGTATGTATCAGGGGTGTATTTTTTCTGTACGTATTTCTTATTTTTTGCAAACTGTATGTATTTGTACACTTGTTACCACCAAAGAAGTACAAACATTTAAGAAATTCACTGATGATTTTTACAATTTGACCAAAGACGCGCCAAAATTTAAAATTAGCAACCCCGTTATTCGTTCAAAAATTAAACATAATGAAAAGTGTGAGTACTTTTTGTATAAATGTAAGCATGTAAGAATTGTATTATGCTTAGTTCCTCTAATTTTGAAAACTGAGGTAGTTTTTGGCGCCAATTCAACCATTTTTAAAGCCATACAACTCAATAGCACCGTCCATTAGAATTATTTTGTTGATTTGATGATTGCTACACTTACTTGTTTATTAACTAGTTACAGTGTTATTACTTATATATGAAAAATGTATAGTAAATACTATTCAGTTTGTGGTATAAGGAATTCCCTATTGTTTCTGTTAAGTTTTATTTATAATTCAATAAAAATCATTAAAACAAGAGTCTGTTTTATTTGATCATAGTTAAAAAATATAACCAATAAGTTTTACACTCCTAGAAGCATATTTTTAGTTAATTTATTTTTCCTTTGCTTGGGAATCGGAACCACATCATCGTTACTATTTCCATCAATTCCGTTTTTATTACACACTTCATTATTATTACTAGCATCAAGGTCGTCGGTAGATCCTGTTATATATAAAGACACGCGTCCAGTGTATGTGTCGGAATCATTTAGTTCATCTCTGGACCCAGCTATGTAAAGTGATTTCTTTTCATGATATAAATACGGCTCCTCATCTTCGTCTGTCTGTACTTCATCGTTCATTACATTTTCTTCATGCGTGTTGTTTGTATTTTCAACAACTATCATATTATCTGTAATGTCTTTAATAACCAGCTCTGCGCTATCGTCTTCAGAAACCAGAGATTTTTTATCTTCATCGTCTGCTTCGTTTTTCGCATCACTACTATTGTTCGCTAACTTAGTACTATCACTTTCACTAGGACAAGACACTACTAAATCTGGAATATTGCTATTTGACTCAATTTCTTGATTCTCTTTGGTAATTACATTATTGTTGGTATCGTCTTTAAGCGTGCCCATATTTTTATTGAAGTCCACAAATTTTTCGACCATGGATTCTCTCTTCGCTTCTGGTTCGTTTTCTTCCCTTGTGATTGTGTTATACAACGAACCCGAATAATCAGTCTCTACTGAAGTTAAACTCCAATGGGAACCACCAGCTGAAACTTCTAATTTGTCGTCGTTTATCTAAAACAAACAATGAAACGGTGAACAAAATAACGCCAATTGTTCTTACATGTTGACTAGACATCGACTTATTAGGAGGTGGGAGTGGTGCCCTTTTCTTCATTCGCCGTCTGATTATCATGGATCTTGTTTCATCAGTTTCCTCTTCTTCGAACGGATTGGAACCTGTGTTTGTGCGATAATCACTTCTTGACACTCTTTCATGGAATCTAGAGCGTGGAAGTGCTTCGGTTATGCGTTGACTAGGAGCAGGATACGATACAGGAAGCCGCTGAAGAGTTTCTAGGAAAAAAACGATATACTCGTGAAGGTAAGACATTTTCGTTCACTTACCAGTTTTTTGACGTAACGTCACCTCTCCCTCATCTTTCTTCTTTATTCGAAAGGACTGCCTCCTAAGAGATAAAAGTAATTAGTTATTTATAATAATGACGCGACAGTGCAATGTTTTAGTATCAATTGTATTGTATTCCAATTGAGGTGGATACACTTCCGGCGAGTTAGTCATTCCACAGGCGTGGGTACTACCTAAATGTATATCAATTTTCAATTTCGCTCATTACATCAACGTAAATATTGTGAAGGCTGTATCAATTTAGCATTCAATTGTTGTGTGTAATTGCGTTAAGTAGTTTTAATTTCTTAACTGTCGTTCTTATTATATTATTGTTACCTTCTTTCAATATTACGTTTTTCGTTGTAACTCAATTAAAGAGTCGCAAATTGCACTTGGTTTATTGAGGACGATTTTTTATTAAAAGTAATTGAAGATATTATCGTATGTTTTATGGGTTGTCAATTAAGATAATGTGGCTCCGATACTTCGATACAAATTACTTAAAAATATGAAAAAAATTACGTCATAGACAAAATATTGTAGCACATGTGTGCGCTGGTGTAACATTTCAAGCAAAAAACCAAAGTTGTTTACTGACTAAGAATAATATAAATATGGACCACTGTTTTTATTCGCGTTAAAACAGAGCCTGTCAAAATGATTAGGTCTAGAGACAGGTTGTACAAAATTTATTCCACTATACAAACAGTTTGAGTTTATTAATCAGGTGAAATTCTAAATAATGTATAACAAAAATACATTTCATGACTGACGTGTTAAAAAAATATGGTTTGGGTTAAACCAACAGTTTTTGAATATAATTGACTATAAATTTTGTACAAAACCAGTGATTCATGATGCACTAATAAAAACAGTGCAATTCACATACATAACAAACTACATAATCAGTTGTTGCGTCATGAGTAGTATTAATATCTTTTTTAAGAGTGATGAAATCATAATGTTCGAACACAAAGATTTGTTAGTATTAATGGGCTAATAGAAGTGCGGTTTGCTTCAACGCGTCTTTAACCTATAGATCAATAAAATAAATTTGTTATCATTTTCTCCTGCCTTTCTATGTAATCATTTAATCAGTCCGTGCTGAAACTTATAAATAAATATTTATTATCAATTATAACATAAATAGTTGTATCGAAAGCATCGTCACTGTTTGATACACGTAATAATTGTAGGTTTATATTTGTTACAATAAGGATAAACATTGATCATAAAATGATTCATAAATATGCATGTTATTTTCGGCTACGAAGAAAAAGGTATCGTTGTGGGCCACACACCTACTTCAAAATTATCAAATATAGATATGGCAGTGACATAAAATTTTGTAGGAAATAAAGATATCACTCTACACTTAACAAATGTCTAATTCGTGCACACTTTATTTTCGCACTACAAAATATCACCAAAATATGTCCTGAACTCGTTAACCGAAAATATCAATTTTGATAATGATCCTAACTTCTGATTTTTGACAATATTTTATACATCTGGGAGGCATGATTGTTTGATCTTTACTTAGACTTTTAAAATTACAATTGTTATTCATAGACAAAAGTCCATTTGATGCGTTTTACTGTTTCAATTTCGTGGTGTCAGCACCTGATCCATTTTCAAACTGGAAGTAAAACCAAAATACCTCATTTACCACAAACTACATTACTGCCAATTTTATTGCAGGATGAGTATTAAATCCAGCTTTTCAGGTTATTTTATGAGAATTTTAACCTTTTTACTACTCATTAAAGATAATTGTTAACAATTTAAACCTAAATGACAACGTGGAACTTTATGTTGTCTTAAAATGAATATAAACACCACCCCTTTTATTTTATTTGTTTGACAGATAATTGGAAGTTTTGTCAGACAGGTTTCTAGTTTAATTAATTGTAATTAAGTCATGGAACATTTTGAGTACCTACCTACATGCATCTTGGTTAATAATAGCGTCTTATCATTATCAATTATTAATCTTAAGTGATGTTTTCACGCAGCTAATATTTGCTTTATAGGAAAACACTTAAAAAATAGCGATAATGTCAGTTCGAACTAATACCAGGGTCCAATTTAGTGTGGAAAAGATAAATACATAGAATATAAAGTTTAAAGGGAGTGTCACTTAAAACCCCGGTGTAAGAAAAAATTAAAAGAACACTTATAGTGAGGGTGGGTAAATAATGAATTGTAAATACCGTCACTACTTATCGTAAAGCAAATATTACGTGAAATTACATTACTCATAAATACTGAAAATGTGAGGTGTACATACTACCGTGGAAAGAATTTTGTGACCTAATAAACATTCGCGAAATTTTTAGGCGCCATGATCATTAATTTCTTTTTAATTAAAATACCTATACAGTGAACGATAGTATTATCATAAATAATATCTAACACACACTATAGTCTAAATTAATTTAAGATAACAATGTTGGTTTATATATTGTATAAAAATATTCCAACGCTTAATGGAAACACATTAAAAAATATGTAGATTTTCCCTAATGAGCGACATTATCTACTGTAAATATTAAATATGTAATTTTAAAAATGCGCACACTTACAGGCTTCTCTTCAATTCCTTAAACGAATGTCGAATTGTCAACTTTGGTTTTTGTTTTAGATCCTCGGAGAAAGGATTTAAATACTCAGGATAGTTGTCACTCATTTTTTTTTCGGAACAAACACAACACAGCTTATTTTCACCGTTCATACGTAAGGAAGAGTGATGTGAAATTGTGCTATCCCCACTATTCTACGGTATATTACAAGGTGACGTCACGGCGCGATGTGTTTCCATTATTTTATGTAAAACCACTCGCAACTTTTAACAATGCAGTAAAAGTGGATTAGTGTAGACACCGTTCAGGCCGCTTCTTTACTGTCCTGTCAAGACCATCTACTAAATCTGAATAGTTAACATACCAAATGTTCCATTTATACGTCACTGCAATTGTTCGTTCTATTTGTGTTGTTTAAGTTGACCTCGGAAAAAATAATCAATAGTAAGGTTGGCGTACAACCAGAAAATCAATTATTTCCAGCCGAATAATTCGTGCTAAATAATGACAAACGAAAAAGTTAAATGGGAATTCACCACTTTATAAAATAAGTTAAAAAAAAGTATATTAATGCGCTCCATTGTGTGAAATATTCAAAAACGTGACGTCATTTGGACTGCATACATTTATTTATTTACAATTTTTTTGGCTAAATATTTTATTATGTCGTTTCCTTGAGCAATATCAAGCAGTTTCCTTTAAGAATCTAAATTAACCACTCGTTTGGTTTCTTTTGTACGTTTATCATCTCTATAATACGTGGGGGCTTTATAATAATATTAGTAGTACCATACGAGTTGTTTCGTTTCTTTGTCATTTTTTTTATTTATTTTCTCTTGAATTAAATTTTTGTTTTTTACTGTTTTCTATAATACCTGCTTTCCTTTATTTCCGAAACGACTCTAAAATGTCAGTCTACGTTGTATTTTTCATTTTATTCATCTTTCTATGTTTTTTTACATTTACTTGTTCTTTACTATTGTTCTAAATAGCCGGTTATTTTCAAAAATAGCCTTAATATCTGGATATTTATCAAAATATTTTCCGGTACTTATGCAAAAGCAGTCTTAGCACGAAAGGTGATATGAATCGCGTTTTTTTTTTAATATAACCATATTTTTTTCTTAGTTCATATTTTCTAAAAATACCTATTTGATGAATATCGTAAATTATTTATTACTGTTAATTTTCAGTAGGTATCCAAATAAATCGATCAGACAGACGTAACGTTAAATCAATGTTTATTATTTCAAAACCGGAACTATAACATTTACACTTCAAACCGCACTTCTAACAATAACTAAATGCGATTATAAAGGTGTGTTTGTGAAGTTGTCGGCTATTTTCAAATAACGAATTGTATTTGACATTTGACAGGTTTCTAAAACCAATCTAATCAACATCAGGAACAATTCCTTAAACGATTATCAGGTACAAACATTGGGTTCCATTTGAAAAAATTCTTCATATGGTCACTGACTAGTGACTTTTCTACATTTGTATATACTAAGAACACAAGACAATAAAATTTTGTTATAAACAAAACTGGTGGTTTTAAATATTTTATTGGTTATTTGATCAAATGGGACGTAAATAAGTGCTGTGATAAGATATAAACCAGATTTTCATGTTTATCGCCATTTTTTTACGATAAATTTTGTTTATATTGCGCGAGCAACGACACGGTTAGAGGAAGTTCACTCTAAAGGAAACGACACATTTTATTGGATGTATCATCTCCAAAACTACCACACCGATTACTTTGAAATTGCATGTTGTGTATTTATCTTTAGCAAAAATTTAAAGACATTATGGTCTCAAAATATGTTTATGGATTATGTATTTATGTATTAAAAAAAAATGGAAACCAACAAATCTTACAATTTATTTCAGAATTCATGTAGATAATAGATTTCTTCAAAATTTTAACAAGTCATTTGTAGAGATTATAGAATGTAAATAAAATTGCTTAAATCATCTTCTCCAGGAATGAGTTACTGATATCGTCAACAATTTATCAAATGAATATTCGTTTAAAAATAAACCTTGCTTGTCTGTCTGAAAAAGCTTTCATTTTTGAAAATCGTCCAGCTAATTTTATCGATTGCCAGAATTTCGTAGACTCACTTAATTTCCCTGAGATTTTGGGAAAAAGTAATGTTATTTAAATTAGTGTTGTATCAGGCATATATTCATCCCCACCAAAAGTTGTTCACAAATATATCGATAGATGTAAATTAAACACCTTTTTATTGAAAATTGTGCATGGACTTTTTGTCATTTTTGGCATTTATGTAACAAATTCGTAGAATCATAAAACATAAAATCCTGTTAATTTCCCGGGAAAATCAAATTGCGTCGTCGTTTTCTTAAATGTTGATGCGTATTTGCCACAATAACAAAAACTCCAGTCTTAAATTAAGAAAGAATGTTGCTCGCTCATTTATTAGAAAATGTTATGCAAATTTAAAGAAAGATGACTAAATTCCGGCTTCGCACTTTGCGCAAAATTAAGCAATTGACTTAAACAATGTAATGAATGCAGTGCAATAAATTTTCATTAAATCCAACTAGGTTGCACTCAGCAACCATGCTTATCATTACACTCTCCGACTTGTAGTAATAAACAGGACAAAGCCAAATATGCGATAAATGCGCAAATATTTAATTAACCCGTTAAAACAAATAATCTTTTCAAAATAATGCGCATTTCTGTAGTTGCAATTTCCGCCACGATGGAGCGCCGCTGTTGTTGTTGTCGTGATGTAAACGTCAAATGTCAGTGCAAAAAGAAAAAATCGTTTTACATTGTTTATTTGAAAAAGTATGTGTTAATAACTGAGTGAAAATAGATTTCCACTGATACAATAATGTTAATAACGCGTTTTTGAAACCGAAAGTGTCGCAGTTTTATTTAAAGTCATGGCACCGCCCCCTGTTGTAACAGGGTTAAGCCCCAACGAGGGCCTTCCAGGGACACGAATTACAATAAGAGGCGAGAATTTCGGGTCTAAACCCACGGATCTCATCGGTAAAATCGTGCTCAGAACTGAACCTTTATTTAACCTTGTTGTTATCAGGGTTGACAATTTGTGGGTTTGATTGTCTCCTGTCGGCTGAATGGAAGTCTCCTAATAAAATTATCGCAATATCGGGACCCGTGAAAGGTAAAGGCGAAGTCATTGTAGCCACCAGATTGGGAGGAATTGGGACATGCAATGTGACATTTAAAGGTACAAGTTATCACAACTCCCATAAAAAGCACTTAATGACTGGTTTAAGGTTACCATGAGACTATTGGTCCAATGAAAGAAAGTGCGGTTTGGGTTGAAGAAACAACACCTTTGTTTGTCTGGGGGCGCCACTCCTTGTCACCCAGCAGCTACCAACAAGAAGACCCATTAGGTTTGTCTGTAGAAGGCAATGATAAAAAATTTCCAGAGGAAGACTTAATGTCTTATTTTCCTGAAAAGTCAGGAGATATTGCGGCCAATAACTTTTCAGCTGGATGGTTCCTTTTGGAAAACCACCATGCTACGTCCTTTAATGATCTACAGGCAGGGTAATGGTCACAGTTTACTAAAAACTAAGTGTAAAAGGAGCTTTCAGTTTACTTCATTTGAGGAGAAAGGTCGAAGGACAAAAGGAAGGACAATTGTCCTTTTTAAAAGCAAATATAGGGTCCGTTATGGATCAAGTCGATACTTTAGTGAATTTAAAAGAAAAGCTAGAGGGCGATGTGTCAAAGTTTGGGAGTGAACCTACGTTAAAATTAGAGAAATCTATCAAAGGTTTGTCCACGTACTTAAACTTACGTCTAACGACCAAAGATGGCGCGTTGACAGCAGAATAAGGGCTATGCATCAAATGATATGCACAAAATGTAGCAAAATTTTGTGATGTGATGAGATGTTTGAAATGTTTAAAAATGTGACCTTGGTTTGGAATTCCACCCACAGTCATTACCACAATAATACTGTATTGATATAAATTAGTATGATCATATAGTTACCCATATATCTAATACTACTACATTGTTAACTCTTCAGAAGTAACATAGAAACAGTGTTCACGGATAGAGAAAGACAGAAGATTTTGTTTTCTGTCTATAAGAGTACCGAAGGTCTGTGCGCACTATCGACTACAGATCAAGCAAGTACGAGTGTATGCGCAGTACTGTTTGGTACTACACAGAGACAGAGAGGTCTGATATATTGCTCTTCCGTTGCGTTTTCTGACTCTTTTGAAGCCAGTTAGCAGTATAGTAGTATTAGATATATGTCCTTACTGTATTTAAACAATTTTACGCTGTCTATATGTAGTTCGTTTACCGAACAGATGGAGTGACCACGTGCGCTTTATAAGTATGTCTTATATTCCTTATTTGTGAAATAATACACAGTATCGAACGATTGCAACACGAAAACCTAGAGAAAACTGAAAACAAGCACGACGACACGAAAACACAGTTAAGAGTGAAAGCTCCAGTTGACCTAAGCGGCAAGGACGCATATAATTTGTTGAGCTGTGTGAAAATGGTTGTGTCCAATGTTTTAAAATGTCTTGCACTTTTACAACTCCATCTGTTCGGTAAACGGAGTATAACGCATTAATTAGCCGTCTTAACTCAGGTTTTGGCTGTGGAAGGTTTGCCATACCTACTTTAGAATCATAGAAACGAAGAAGACATGTGAAAGTGGTATTTAACTGAAATTGTATATATTTTAGAATCTGAACGAGAAGGTCGTAAATTGTTCGACGACGTGTTAGCAAGGCGAGATCGGGCAGAGAAAACGCGCAACGCTTTAAATGTATTGGCCAGGTTTAGGTTCTTATTCTGTTTGCCGTGTGTGATCGACAGAAATATCAAAAAGGGTGAATATGACATTGTTATCAACGACTACATAAGAGTAAAAAATTTATTCAATAAAACTGATGTGCCTGTAAGTTAAAACCAACTACTCAGTTTCTTCATCATTAATAAACCGTTTTAAGATATTCAAGTCTGCACTTAATGAAGTCGAAAAACGAATAAAAGATCTTCAAAAGAAGCTGCATACAGATTTGCAAACCATGCCAATAACAGTAGAACAACAAAAACGCTTAATTAGATACTTAGTAAACTTAGACTGCCCATACGACCCAGCTTGGGACGCAATTAAAAGTCGTTCTGATTTTATTAACGAAAAAATTAAACAGATTTACAACTTCCATAATACGGTGGATAAGCCTGATACCAAATCAAAGTCGAATACGTCGAAGTACTCCAAATACAACCCTCCACCGGTAACGGACTTGAATACGGTTCCAGCAAATGTTAATTTTATAGATGAAATATGTATAAGCGTTTCAGAAACTTTTCCCGATTTGTGGAAAATAGGACAGGCGTATTTTTCAGGCGAGTTAAGAGTCAAAGTGGAAGCTGGTCGCCATGTTGAATTTAAAGTAATGTGATCGTTTAAGTCAACAAAATATTAAAGTTCGTTTTGTAGCATATAGTCATGACAATAATGGAATGCTTTTGCAAGTCAATACGATCTTCACTTATACCAAATACTCTAGATAAAAGTGATAAAAATACTTTTGGAACTTGGACAATACCCGAACTGGAAGAAGTTGCTCCATTTTTACCCGAAATCTTAAGATGTGTTAGATCCACGTACATCGCTTTAATTAAATTAGATTTGCCAAGTGAAGCCTTAGATATTATTTCGGCACTACTTTTAGATTTGAGAATACACTGTATGAGTACTTTATTTAAACAAGCGGCCGAGCAAATTAAGCAACTTGACGAAAATTGGAAGATTGATTTTAGTGGGGATCATATAGGAATTACAGAACTGGTGAGTTGTATTGTTGCTATTGGTGCTCGAGTGGTCATGTGATTGTTTCAGCCAATTAAATTCGAGTGTATCATCCAAGATGTCATCCAAATAGTCAAAGAGTCGGTTTTATCGACAGAACAGCGGGAAACTGCACTTTTAGCTAATCCAGCTGCGCATAAAGAATTAGATAAACAAATAGAAGCGGTGTTAATGTCGTTTCATAACGTTTTAAATAACTTATCATCGGATGAGGGAAGTGACGACGACGAAGATAATTCACCTGTTGTCTCACAATTAATCGGAACACCTGTTAATGGTTACAAATCAAATTATACGAATAGTAACACACCTGTGTGGGAGCATAGATTATTAATAACACTTTCTAATTGTCTATATACGAAAAACGTAGTTTTTACTAATATTATTAAGAAATTCAAGGAGAGCGGCTTTCCAATTCCAGAAGGGCCAGTACATAACGCTAAAAGCAAATTAGATATTTTAGAAAAATCAATATTAGAAAAATATTTGGAGCAAAAGAGTGATCCCTTAGTTGGAACAATTGAACCGTCGATGTATTTAGGCCGTTTTGATTGGGATCTCGACATCACACCAAATAACATAAGACCCTACGCTAAAGAATGTATAAACAATGTTATTCATGTTCATTCAGAAGTCAATAGCATTTCGTCTTCTTTACTAGAAAGTGTACTTCCTCAAGTGGTATTAACTATCGCTGAAGAACTGTATAGATTAATGTCTTGTGTTCAAAAATTTAGTAAAGGTGGAGCACAACAAGCTAGAGCTGATATTAGTGCTCTACAAATATTTTTTGACCACTACTCTACACATAAAGCTAGGTAGGTATTTAATTAATTTGTTAATTATCATAGATAATTGGTTGTTTGTAGAAGCTACTTCCAAGAAGCTTTGGATATAATTCCTCCTTTGGAAAATTCTGATTCGACGTAAGTAACGTCCTAAATTTTGTATAAATGATTATTTTTCTTTTGCAGTGTTGTTCAGGATATTCTGAGACAGTGCAAGGCCAGGATGAGAATACAACTACTTTGTTTAACATCTCAAGCCAACGGGCCAGTGACTAAAAGATCTCATTAACTCCTGACAAGCTTAGTGTAACTGTGATTCTATTGTTGCTCATTACTACTCTTTTATAAATCCAGTTTCCCTTTGTTTTGAGTAATGTACACTATGTATAAATTATAAAATATTTGTATATAAAGTAAGGATGCCTTGTAGATGAAGTAATAATCATTATTTTTTGTTTTAATTGATTCACGTTTTGTGATATTTTGTAATGAGTTAACTGTACAAAATATTTTTGTTACTGTCTTATTTGTTTTAATTAACTGTGGTTAATATATTTTCATTTATGTATTTTTAGAATGTACAATAATTTTGTGTAAAATATCAGATTAACTTATTAACGAGGGTTTTTTTAAATACCTTTGACAACTCGTGACGACTATTTTGGCGCGAAAAATGTTGCCATGCGCAGAAGTGCGACCACCATCGGTACAGAATTATCAGGAAAATTCAATTTCAAAAGTTGCACTGTAATGAACGGTATAAAATGCCAAAAAGACCGTACCCTGAAGATGACGATAATCAACCAATAAAGAAACAGCAAAATTCCAAAACCAAGTCACGAAACATCAGGTCTTCATCTTCAGGTAAACAATATTGAGGTTATGTTTGTTTACTTTTTAATTTTTAAACTTTTAGAAAGAACGTTGCAATTATTATACGAAGGGGCCGCAAAACTTGATTATTACCTTGAAACCAAAAAAGAGGTAAACAATAATTCGATTAAGAATCGTAATCAGTGATTTTTTTAGCAATCCAAAGTTGTATGTACAGGCTGTTCGAAACCTATGGCGGGCACAATTAGTTGTAATTATTGCGAACACGACGTTTGTTGCGATTGTAAAAATACGTGTTATAAATGTTGTAATGAATTTTGCTCCAAGTGCTCTTTTCTTACGTAAGTTTTATTTTTGTAGTTATAATTAAAATTTTGCTTGTAGGCAAGTTGTTATAGTTTCTTCAGTAGTGTGAACTGACGTTTTTTTACGAACAATATGTCGCTTGTGGCTTAATACGTTGACATGCCATGAAAGTGGGTTATTTTTTGTGTGTTTGTTTCAAATTTGCCGCTACAACACAATTTGCATACCCTATTTTGCTGTTACATGTTAAACTAGCACGGCATAACTAAAAACGAGTTGTTATATATGAAATAGTGTTGTTTTTTTATATAAAGTTTGAGTGATTGTAGGTCTTGTGGGTGACAATTCTAGTCTAAAAATATCAATAGTAAAAATTATATACGAAAAAGAGATAATGACAGGTTTGAATTACAAAATTGGGTGAATTGCATGTATCATAAAAACGCCAACACGCAACAATTAGTTTATTAAATAATTACTACCAAATGCTTTCCCTTTTTTTTTTTTTTGTTATTATTTGAGTACTACTTATATTTTTCTTTTTTAGGTATGACCAAAATGAGGCAGTTTGCTACACATGCTGCACGTATTGAAAATGATAGTGGATTGTAAATAGTCACATAATTTATAATTTATTTTCAAATCAACTGGAATATCAATGTGTATTTTATTTTGAAATATACGAAATTGTGTAAATAAAAATTGCCGTTTTTATTATATCTACGGTAAATGCGATATTTTTGTTAACCGAAAAAATAATCAACAGTTTTTTTGGTACTAACGATAAAGCCGTTAGTGTAATGATGGTTGCATATTTACTGATATTAAACTAATCGGGGTTAGAACACAGCACCTGACGATCTTTTTTCTATTATATTAACAATATTAATAAATCGAAATTTTTGAAATAATTTTGTTAGGTTAAAGATGTATGAAGCGCCACAATTTAAAAAAATACGAGTGTGCGGGTAATGCAAAATTTATTTCTCCTTTTAATAAAGATGACTTCATTACATTGTACCTAATTTTATATTCAAATTGTTTAAAGCATATACTAGGTAGCATAATTTGGCCATTATTCAACATAAATGAAATATTTTCTGCCAAAATAACGAGTGAACATGAAAAACAGGTTTATAATTTTAAGTGTTTGTGTCGAAAAAGAGTATGAAACAAGACATTCATCACGGTGTTTGCGCAATTTGAACGCATGTAAAATTTCAATTTTTAATTCTAATCAGAAGTCAGATTACATTTCTGCGAAGTACTACCATTTGAAATTGTGAAAGTTTAAATGACATTACTATTTATTATTATTGAGTAACAGCAGATGAAAAAATGCCGTTTCATGTTCTAAATTTCAATTATATACATATAAATTAGTAATTATATCCATAAGTATCGTTATTATAGTTTAATATTACTCAGAGCAATTTATTCATTTATCCTAACTTTTTTATCAAATTTAAATAGGTCAAAAAGTGAAAGTCGATTTTAAATGCTAATTATTAATAACGCAAAACAAATCGAAAAGCCGTATAACGAATTTATCTCTCGAGATGGTAACGAAGAACTAGTTTTTAACCAACATTTACTACAAATTATTGCAAAATTTGACGATTGATTGTGGTTTTCCGTTGCTAACTCATTGATGAAAAAACATGTTGTCTAGACTGGAGCTCGGAACCAGTTCAAGGTAACAAAAATGGGGCGCTCTAGTGAAATCATAGTTAGAACTAGTATCTAGCGAATGCTTCTTGACAAATTTTAACGCAACTAATTTACATTTCACTAAACATTTTAAATAATGTGATTACGATTTACTGCCACATTATCCAATAGAACAATCTACTCGAGTTACATAATTTGACTCCTCCTTTTGGACCACCCCACCACAGCCGACCGTATCTAAACTAGATTCGGAATAATCGAGCCTTATTTCATCCTCTAACTTTATTATAACCGCGATACAAAAACTTGATTGTTGCTGATACATAACATATACTTGTATTAATTATATTACCTGACTGTAATTTCAAGCGACAAAAAACCGTTTTAGGGTGCGTTTACACGATAAATATGCGCGTGTTACGTACTTATTTATTAAAGACCTACCACCTGTTGATTATTTAGTTTGGTAATACAATAAAAATCCCCATATATATTTACTAAAGGTGATGCAGTTTGACACGAATTAAATAACAGTTTGATCAACAATTGACGCAAGCACAATAAAAAGATTATATAAACTTAATATAATACTGCGAAAACGAAGAAAATTGCTTTCTTATTATGCGCTCAGACGTTCGTCTTCACTTTTCACTGGAATAAATACGAGCTCATGCAACTGCGTGAGAAGAAATTAAATTTTATGTTTTCCTGAAATTAAATTTTGCAACGCTCTCGCTATATTTTTAGGATAAATTGGTTAGTACACCTATATTATGTTGAAATAATAAAACAAATAGTAGTTCAGTTACTTACGTTAATTAGTTAAAGATGGTCATGTTTCGTCGGCGCCAATTTATATAATCTTATCATAAATAAATATTTTCATTTTTCATAAAATGTTTAGTTTGTTGTTATATTTCTCTGTTTGTATACCTCTACAATTTACCTGTTGATTGTGAAATTGTAAAATTTTCAAAATACGATTTTATTTTCATCTTGAAATTAATTTTTCTGTCATTTTGAAAATTTTGATGCAGTCTATGCTTTATTGTCACTTTGACGTTACAAATTTAAAACAGTTGTCACGTCGGATGCAGTGTCGACATTCCCCGTAGTGTCAAAAATGACAAGACTAAAAAATACAATGCTAGAGTACTTAAAGTGTGTTTTACACTTTATGACAGCGGAATGAGACATTGACATCCAAGATTTTCTGGTTCCAAGTATTTTGGTTTCTTGAATCTAACAAGGACCATATTTTCTCGACCCTGCTTTTTCTAGCATGCTGTCGAAATTCCTTGCTTTAGTCCTCGGATAATTGAACCCAAACTCACGTCTCCTTGGTTACCAGGAGAAAACTTTATCAGTTGACGGGTTGAGGTGCGAAGGAGACTGGCGTTGCTGCGACTATTCTTACGATCGTTGTGAACTTAGAGTGATGCCCTAAACGGATTCTGTGTTGCCTATCGACTTCTAAATCTCCTTAGTCTTCCTATTCCAAAATTTGAATTTCGCGCCCGTTAACATGAATTTAAATTTCTCTCCAAGAAATGGTCTAGAATCGGCACTACTTAATCATAAGAGATACTGTAGGGTTGTTAACCAGTCTCGTTCAGACGATGACATGACTTCTGTTTCTTCTTGTTGTGAAGTTTCGTACACCAATTCCTTTACTTGATAAACTTGGTATTGACCTGCTAACTGGTGCTCTCACTTTTCACTTAAGCATTGTCCGTTTTGTCGATGTCTCTTCCTCTTCGTCTATGTTCAATGAATCAATTAGAACTATAACTATTATCATATGAACAGAGATAAAGGTGTTTGACTGTAAATATATAAATACTTTTAGAAGAGACTTGCTCCATACTATATCGAAATAATCAAAGGAACCTTTTTTTTTAATGAAAGCTTCTAAAATCAGTTCGCCTTTGTGGCTCTCTTTTGTACTGAAATCCATATATGTTAGTTCAAATTCTTCAACAGGTTATTCGTTCGTAACAGAATATGATCTTTTTTGTATCTTATAGAATTCTTCTAGACTTTCTCTCTTCAACGTGAGTCCCGTGTTGCAGTTTGCTTAATCTACCTCTTCTGTTCTAAAAATAGAGTCCTTCCACCAAGGGTACTGACATTAGGTTCAGCAGGAATAAAACAAATGGGTAGTATTAAAAATATATGTATTTAAAATGGTTATATTCTTTTGAAATAAGTATTGGCACCCTAAAACTGACAGTTTGAATAATTTCCAGATGTTAAATTTTAAATTTAGCATTTTAGATAATTGGCAGTTATAACAAATGTCAATTTTGGACAAGTGCCCAGTAAAAGTAAAAGTTCGCCTCAATTTTCACAAATAGACACCGCACTGCACTACCAAGAAAATTTGCAATCGAGTCACATGATATTTGCAACACACGATCTCTTAATTCACGTCCGCGGATAACCCGTTTACAAATTTTCTTGACTACACGTATTTTCCGTAGAACGTTACATGAGAGTCCTATAATTATATACAGTAAGTCAAAATAAAGAAATAGATGTCACTATAAAAACCACTCTCACCATCGCATGACCTTCATTTCTCGGTGTCCGGTGTACCCGCCATAAATTTTTCTCTGCCAGTGTTTCGTTTGTAATTCGGTTTTTGGATACATGACGTAGTTTAAGTTGTTTCTTGAACGATTTATAAACTTGTGAAGTCTCTGACGACCGGAAACTGAGAGTTGTCCGACGGTGAGAGCATTACTTGATACGTGATCGGGGTTCTATTGTCAAAAATGTAAATTGTTCGTAAGTTGGGTTACACGTACTTATGAACTAATTTAAAACAGTTAAACTGGATTGTACTATGTATAGTGTGGACTAACTTAAAGGAAGGAAATTTTTCTAGCAGTAATGGTAGATTTTTGTTTATTCTTCTATGGCAGTATGGGTGCAGAATAGATGTAAATGTGGACGATATATGTCTTGTAGGATAGAGGCAGAATACTTCTATGGCAATCTTTGTTCGCAGACGGGTTGTAATGAAACCCATCCTCCGGAATACTCTTTAAGTGTTGTATCTCAACCGAAGGTCAGAGAGGGCAAGTGCCCTTTTTTCTTTCTTGACCCCACCTACTCGTTCCGTCAGCAAGTAGTACCTTTGAGGAGCAACTTAATTACATATATTATCGGTAATAAGTTTTGGTTTCATGTTCTTTATTTGCGTTGACAATACATTATCAAACAGATGCTGCTGGTATAGTGAAATTGTTGGTTGGTGCTAGAACTAGTATAACTGATAAGTGATAATTCTGATAATACTACGATGAATAAAATAAGAGTTGTTTTGATAGATACGACAGATGTGCGGTTTCGATAACCATGGGTACGTGTAATCAATAATTTTCATGTTGTTTCCTGGTAGTCCAAGGACCTAGAGGAATTCTATCCAAGATCTGCCTCTTGTACGGTATACGCGTAAGTAATGTAGAACTAGTGAGTGGCTCGCCCTGCCGGAATCGGTGGATGTCGTATTGAGCGATGTCCTTAACGCGTGCTGGATCATAGCACATACATGTCGTGGTAACAAGGTCTCAAGGCCCATACAGCCGAAGATGGGGTGCGTGGTGCGGGTCACGGTGGTCGTGCATTATCAACGTTCCGGGCGTGCGTGGAAAAACGTAGTGGTACACGCGTGAGTTAAAAAAGAAAATGAGTGCGCGTGCTTTGTGTCGGCTGTAGTGAACAGCACTCCTGCAATATAGAATCGCAATATTATATAACAGCAGGCATAAAAGATCGATCTGCAGCTCGTATGGCTGCAAAAAACCGCTCGTCTCGTCGCCGTATGGCGATCTGAAGAATTTCTCGCATATTGTTGATTCCGCGTCGCGGTCGCTCTCTGGCTCTAACTCTCTCCCTTCGCTTTCGTTTCGATGGAATCCGACTGGCACTGGGCTGATGCCTAACTGAATGAACGGGGTCTAGTAGTCTGTCGTCTGTCTGGTTGGAGTTTCGACTGTTTCGGCACTGGTGATGTGATCGTGTTTACATCATACTGTATACTTCTACCATGTGTTTTACGTACACACGGCTCTAGCTCCGGTATTTCAGTGATTGAACAGTTTTTTCGATTACCTCGACTCGGCCCCTAAGGATATAGAATATAGATGTCTTTAGCTATGAACGTATGTATCTGTGACTACCTGTCATTATACCACTTTTAATTTGGGTGGGGTACCCCACTCACCCCTACTAACTCAATGTAAACAAAACATCCTTTATTTACCTCCGACGCAAGTGATTAATCAATTTTCCGCCATTGCATTACGGCTATCAGACTATTTACATTTTTCACCTTGTTTATTCACTGATGATAGTCAACATTTGGTTAATCTGAGTAATAACAGATATGAATAGTTACTTTTTTTTTATCTATTTGTATATTCTAACTATTCCAAATAGTGTGAAAACATCAAATAGTTACGGCGATTTGTTTTTCTCATTGATAGTCATATAGCACCACTTCCGATAAATCTTATAAATAATGTACACTATTAAAAATCGATTCAATAATGTAAAAACGAAAGTTAAAAATTTAACACAATACTCGTTTATTTTTACATGTGCGCTAAATGGAGTGTGATGTTACTTTCATAGGGTAGTTCGTTGCGTCACTGCGGTCACGTGATGAGTGATGACCTATTATGCTAATAGAGAGTATTATCTCGGCTTTACACGTGTGTAACAAATGCACATGTGTGACCCATTTAACAGAGATCGAACGACTCCCTTTTTGACACCCCCAGCACGTTAAAAGAATTTAAAATACTCGTAGATGTATATGGTGGTACAAGAATAGTCCTCTTGTCACATGACTGCGGCGCTTTGTTTTGGTTGCGATTGGAATTAAAACGACAATAAAATACGATATTAGGCGTTCTATCACATTATGTGTGCCTTTTTGTGAGTTTAGAATTTAAAAATTAACACTTTGTTTAGTAAGATTTAATATATTTAGAATGTTACAGGTCAAAACTATTTCAACAAACAATATTCGTATAGAAAATAATGTGTAAATTATGCACCGTGTAAACATGTTTTGTGTTTAAAACGTTATGCTGGTATTAGGCGATCGGTTTTCAAATTTGTTGAGATAAAAGAATCCTATGTTCATTTTTTCCTAGTTTTTTATACAATTTCACACTATACAAACTATTAAGTACCAACTAGTAACACCCCTTAACGTGGGAATAATACCGTTTCAAATACAAAGGGATAAGGGCTTTCAACTTTGTGAGAACTAGGTCAAAGTTTCTTTATTCTAAGAATTTGAAAAGTACCGAATTTTTACTTCCAGTTCGCTTTGTAAATGAAACTTACATAATACAGAAATACTTAAGGGATCAGTTCGTTAACAAATATATTTCAAAGTAATTAACGTAGGTTATGGTTAATTTTAAAACTAACGGACTGGGTTGCTAAGCAACGAAATTGATTAGTTGGCTTCCGTAACGTAAACGAAAGATCGAAAGGTAGTGCGACCACTTATTATTTAGCTGAAATTACATTTTCGAACCAACTGCTTATTAAGAAGGTTGTTTGTTTCGTTGTACTGTGATATAATCAAACAAATTTCCATCGCAGGAGATCTTATCGTCATTTGTGAATTTCGGTATAAAAATATCATTTTAGATGTAGTGTCAACGAATTTGATTTTAAGTGATCAATAAATATTTCGTGTTATACATAATTAAAACATTCACTGTTGCGAGTAATTTGATTAAACCGTAATTTTTTGGAAAATAGACACGTCATTTTGTGTCAGCCAGAGGCTACTCTGAATCAGTTTCTTCCCGTTATTTGAATTTTTCAATTATAACTACAAACTTTTTAAAATAAACAATAAAAGTCCTAGGATTTATTCCAAACATGATTTTAATGTTGTCATTTTTAATGAAGTACGAAACAGTCTGAGCAAAATCTGCAATAATTTATGATTTTCTGGATTTTGTGTATCTCAGGAAAAAACAGAAACGTAACCGGTTTAGTAACTTCTGCTTTTACGATGACTGCTAGTTTTTTACTTGTCACATTCCTTTATATTATACAAATAATAGAATTTAAATTAAATGTCATGTTATTCACATAGTAATAAGTGTCTTTTACCTATTATTATTAAATAAATGTAAAAAAAGTGTTGATTTTTTGAAATATTTATTATTATTAGTTTTTTCGTTGAAAAAAATATCGTCGTTGGGTAAAGTTTTAGTTTTCCACAGTTATAGTACCGAATGATTTTGTAATTTAATAGCTCTGTGCCTAATAATAACGTTATTTTGACAGTAGACGTTGACCCAAATTAATGGTCGGTGGAAAAACCTAGTTTAATCACGTGCACTTTCTTGATGTCAAAAAAGAATGTCAATCCGTTGTTTCAGTTTTTCGTTCCAACAATGAATCAAAACTTTTTCGAAGTCAAAATCACTTACTTTTCATAAACATGAGCATCTGTATTTTATTTATCAGCTGTTTAACTTATTTCTGTGTAAATAGTAAATATTTTAAGCGACGTAGGTTATGTGACACGAACGAAGTACCACGAGTTAAATATCAGAGATCAGTTTTCGGTTTGTTTATGAAAATAGTCGAGCTTAGCCTTATTACTTAGTGTTCCTCAGACTCCTTTATTATTAGAAAACATCTGTTGTATTTTTACAGTGAAAAGTGACTTCGCTTTATCCTTGGCATTTATATTTAAAAAAACTGTACCGATTTTAAAAATAAAAACAGATCGAGAAACGATTTCCACCTATATTTAAACTTCTTTCTGTGCAAATTGAAATGATGCAAATGCACTTGGCTGTATATTAAAAATAAATCTGACGATATTTATATGCTTTTACGCGAATAAAACTTTTTAAATTTAGATTTTTGTGCAGGTTGATGTGGTCTTATAATGTCAAAAAAGTTTCTAATATTTTAACAATGATTATTAATAGTATCAAGGACACTTTTCGGGTGGAATTAGTATTTTTAAATAAAAATGTCATAGAACTCTCGTAAAAAAATGATTTTACATTTCTTGTTTCTTAATGGGACGCCATCGTTCTAGACCAACCTTGGAATTTAAGTATTGACGAAAATGTACTTTTGCAATAGATGTACTCGTAAATATGTGATATTTTGTACATTTCAAACTATTTCGGTAAACTTGGCTGAAAAAGTCGATTATCTTTTTTTATTTTTATTGTGTCCTCTAAGTGTTTTGTAGCTGTCACATTATTTTCTAAATTCGTCATCGCCAAAACTTTCTAAGGCCTCGTTTAAACGGGTGGCACTCTAATTGCGTACGTCATTATCGATTGTCAGATGTAAAATCGCCAATATCAACATAAAACGTTTTAATCAAGTCGAAAGTCAGTACGGTCGTCGAAAATGGCGCATCTTGTTAAAAGTAGCTAATTATAGGTGTGGTTGAAATGGCCCTACAGTGTTAACAGGCGTTGTAAATTGTAATTAAGTAAATAAATTAGTTACTGGAATTGACGTTTCGGGTAAAAGAAAGACACGATTCAGGTTAAGCACGTAGAGAAAAATTCGATTTTATGAGGTTATTAAGGTAACAACTGCATAAGCAAGCAAATAAAAAATAATTTTTATTTTTATTTCTACTTTCGCCGAGTGCTTAACTTCCATAAATATATTGGACACTCGCAAATAAAGTCTGTGTGAGTAACCCAATTTAAATCGATTAATATTTCTATATTAGTATGACGTCACTTAAAAAAAACACGATCGTTTGAGTACTGCTTAAAAGCGAACTTTTCTTGACTACCGGAATGTGGATAAGTTTCAAGGAAATTATGATTTTGTTTTTTTGTATTTTTTTGTTTTGTGTTTTTTTAGAGAGAAATTTTCTATAATTTAGATTTCTCTTGTACTTTGCTAAACGAAGTGTCAGCTTGTAAGAAAATCCTTATGGGAAGGTTAATCGTGTGAAAGATAAGATTTTTTATGACTGAAAAAAGGCGAACAAAGTATAGTTTATTTTTGTGATAAACGCTTTCCATTTATAGTAGCGAAAGTTGATTGGCCCCATAGTAGGTCAACAGTTTGGTTATGTTATTTTGGGATCTCCAACTTCAAAGTAGTCCCAGGTACAAATAAATAAGTTTAAAAAACGTCAGTACTTTTACTTCTTACAAATTAGTTTCATGTTCTCATTTGTGGCACACTTATTTACTTGTAACAAATTTTCTATAATCAACCATTTTTTGCTCGACGTGAGGTTCATAGAGAAATATTTTTGTAATATATGTTCTGGTTTTCACAAACAGCGAGGTTGATCAACTCGTTAATAAAATCATTTACGGCATGTTATATAACAGCAGGTACATAAATATACTTAGTGAATAAATATGCGAATTGGGTATCGTCTATTCTATTGAGCTGTTCGTTTTTGCATCAGGAAAAATGCATGTTTGCATTTTGATTCCATCCTACATTATTGTAAAATGCTCACAATAACAAACCGTTATTTAGGAGAATAATTATGAATCATTCAAGTGTAAGCCGTAACTGTCTTCATTAACTTTTCTAATAGCACTTCTTATTTCTGCACTACAGTTTCCATAAAAATCGAGATGCAATCTGTTTCAAGATTGTCGGAGCTTTTTATAAAGCTTCAATTTGATTATAAAGTCGTAGGCATCCACTAGGAAATACAAAACATCAATTCTGCTATGAAGTTCTATAATTACATCGGATTTTTACGTTGCTCTCCGTCAGATCTCAAGTAACAACTAGTTGTAATATGGATGGATGTTATCCAACCGTGACTTAATTTTTTGCAATAAAACCATGAAAATTACAAATGCTGGAAGAAGAGCGAACGGAACGAGTTTAGAGTTAGATTTAAACTATACACCTGTCAAATTATTCATAAAATTCGGCATTGTAAAAGTGGCGAAGTCGAGTGTGAAACCGGTTCCAGTTCAAACATGTCACACTGTCAAAACACTAGGGAATAAGTGTAGATAATTGTTAAGTTATAGGGTCATATTACAACACCGATTCAAACAAACAGGTAGGCATATCTCTCATTTAGAAGTTTGTTGCTCATACGATAAAATGTAATCTTATAGGATTTAGACCATAGGAATTTTTATATCGTTTGTGGGATAATTTTGTGGTACTTAGTTATGAGTTTGCGCAGTTTTTCACTCATTAAATAACGATAAAAATAATGTACGCTTCTCTTAAAATGCTCAAAGTGAAACGTCCTCGGCGACAAATTTAATGCTGAGGTACTTTACAATGGCCAAATCTAGACGAGGTGAATGGTT